TGCCATTGTGTTCTTTATTAGTGCTATTTCTTTTTTCTTTTTATTAGTGCTATTTCATTCTTCATAGTTGTATCTTTTCTCATGGAGTTAATCATCTTTGCCATCATTATTATGAACTCTATGTCTGATAAAAAATTTCTTATCTCCATTTCATTTAGCTCCTCTGGAGAATCCTCTTGTCTTTTTGTTTGTTTTTGTTTGTTATTTTTGTCTTCCCATTTTGGCTGCCTGTTTGGGTTTGTGAATATGTATTAGGTAGAACTATGCCTCCCAATCTCTAGTGCAGGACAGTGTCAAACCCTGTTTCTGACTAACCTTGAGGCAAAGACTCAGTGCCTCAAGAGACCCACCTTTGCCTGCAAACTGATTGGATTCACTCTTGAGTAGCCTAAAGCAATCATCCACAGGTGGGGCGAGAGGTTTTCCACCAGGGTGGGGAAATTGCTTCTGTCTGGAGGCTAATTGTTATTCTCAGTCTCTTGATGGGCCTCAGAAATGCCACAGGTGGGGCAAGGGGTTTCCCAATAGGGTGGGGTAACTGTCTTTCCACAGGCAAAAACCGCCTGGATAGCAAAGGTCTGCCTGACAAATATGTCCTCTGAACCTTGAGGGAATGACTCAGCACAGGAAACCAGGGTGTCTGCCTTCCGAGCTCTAATCCCAGAGTTCTGGCAGACAGCAACCCTGCTGTTTTTCACAGCCAGATGTTATATGGGTACCTTTCTTAGTTCTGGTGCTCCCCGTTGGGGGCCCAGCTTGGAGTTTAGACTCCAGAGGTCTCAGTGGTAACTCCCACAGCTGAGATATCTCTCCAGACCTTCAGCTGCTATCTGTGGGAGATCAGCCAGCCCTTTCCAGTCTCCACTGTTTCTTCCAGTTTCTATGCAGTCTCCAGTTTCTGTCCTTGGTTATATGGGGTTCTCTCCAGCTAGTCTTCAGTTGATTATTCAGGGTGGGATTTTGTTTTTGTGTTGTAATTCCAGTTTGGTCCTGGGAGGGTGTCTGTGTACCATCCTGGTAGCTCCATTGGTTGGAGCATCATCCCATACACCAAAAGCTTGTGGGTCCAATTTGCAGTCGGGCACATATCTAGGATTCGGGTTGTATCCATGGTCAGGGAGTATATGGGAGGCAACCGATCAATGCTTCTCTCTCCCTCTCTCTAAAAAAAATCAATAAAATCAATAAAAACACATCCCTCGGTGAGAATTAAATAAAAAGAAAAGCCTACCTGGTGTGGCTCAGTGGTTGAGCATCAATCTATGAAAAAGGAGGTAATGGTTTGATTCCTGGTCAGGGCACATACATAGGCTGTGGGCTCAGTCTCCAGTGTGGGGTGTGCAGGAGGCAGTCTACCAATGATTCTCTCTCATCATTGATGTTTCTATCTCCCTCTCTCTCTCCCTTCCCCTCTGAAGTAAATAAAAATATATTTTAAAAAATATAGCAGGGCAGGTTTTATTAGGTTTCAAGGCCTGGGAATAAAGTTCTGGAACTTGAGGCTCTGCCCTGTGGGTTTACAGTTCAGCCCTCACAGTCATTCTTCCTTTCTTTTGAAGGGTGTCACATGTTTGCACTTTAGTCTTCTAAGTCCATTGCATGCCTGGGACAATTTGGAATCTGATAGCATTTCTGCATTGTGTCCCTGGTCTGTTACTTTCAGATTAACCTTGTAATCTTTCTGATGATATAGTATTCTTAAAAACTGTCTTGTACAACTGGTGTTCCAGCAAGGTGGCTTAGGAAGATGCCGACCTTGCTGCCTCTCACAAGGAAACCAAATATATCCCTCCATTTAGAGCATTTCCTCCTGCAAGATAACTTTGTGCACTAGAACAGCCTCTATAAAACAAGCAAGTGAGAGACCATATAGAGAAGTCTGTGAAACCTGGAGAGCTCTCTGGGATTTGAGGGAACTCTCTGTGATCAAGGGCGCTTGCAAGGACCATTGGTTATGTCCTCTTCAAGTCAACAGTGGTGGAGGGAGATTTAGGCATGTGCTCTGATTCACCTGTAAAGCTGCTGCACTGCTTCCAGATCATCCTGCTGGAGGTCATTCTGGTGGGACCAATAAGTTGCTATACACTCACGTGAACCGAGTAACTACCCAGAGCCTGCTCCAGACACAGACAACTGGAACCACAAGGTGCCATGTTGGGCTCCCACACTGGGCAGCCAGACCTGGAGCTCCCTCCAGCAAGACCAACAGGTTTCTGAGAAACCTGAACATCGCTCTGTCCAGTCTGGGACAATTATCTGTTCTAGGTCTGTCCTAGGTCCACAGATAATCTTTACCTGCCAGGAGACCCAGGCCTGAGAAGGCATCATGAGGCCTCCTTTCACCTTCTCTACAGGACTCAGAGCAGGGAGTCACCTAGTAGCACACACAGGGACCATGTAGAAGGGCTTTCCCAGTTGCAGGTTGTGACTCATAAACAGGCCAATAGAATGTTGTACGTCATCTGAGCAGAACTTCATGTCTTTAATAAATTATAATGGAATAACACAGCACATCACAGAACAGAATAGAAAATACCAGGCTGTGTTGCATGTGCCAAGGGTATGTTTTTGTGGAGCACTTGGCTTAGAGTCACTGCAAAATGTGTTGTGTATTGTGGGTCTTGGTGAAGAAAGCTCAGAAGGCTCCTCTTGTGATGCATGCACTGCTCTTTCTCACACATCCCTGCATTTCCCAAATCTCTGCTAGGAATGGGGATTAGCTACAGACCTAGTCTAAAAACGATTGAAACACAAACGAATCAGACAGGAGGGGCTGATTTCTGGGTTTGGGAAAAACCATAGTCTCTTGGCATCTCAAAATCTGGACCTGTCTCACGGAGCAGGGGGAGGAGGAAAGTATTATCTACCTTGGAACCAAAGGCAAATTATTCCCTCTCATGACTGCAAAGTGTTTTCAAGTCGTCCTTTCCTGCACTTGTCTCCCTTGCTGGGCACCCAGTCGGTGTGTACCATCTTCCCAGGGAGGAAGAAAAAGGAAACCTTTCAGGATCTACTTTGGACATTCTCTTCTCTTTTCACATGGACAATCATGTACTCAAACTGCATTAGCAGAATATTGAATTTAAGGAATGCAGCGCTATATTAGGATAAAAGAGAATTTGTTTCTGCTGAGGCAGAGGTGGAGCAGTATCCACACTGACCCAGGCAGGACTCCCCTCTCACTGCTGAGCCAGTTTTGGGGGACCTCAGCCCTGGATATACTGATCCCGCACACCATCCTCCCTGACACCCTCTCCTTTCGATGGCTGTGACAGCACACACTGGGTCCTGGGTCTCCCTTGCCTGTATGCCAGGCGCTCTCCCATGCACCCTGTGCATCTGTGTCCTCCCCTGCCCACACTATCACCAGGACATTGCCTCTCCCTCTCTGTAAGCTGTGCTCTGGAGGTTCCCAGTCTTGGAAAAATGATTCCACACCTTCTCCCCTGAGTTCTGGGACAGAGTCCAAAGCACCTCTGTCTCATCCCACACTCTCCACAATAGACTCCCCCATCCCCTGAGCCTGAGATCTTAGAGAGAGTAAAGGCAAGGCATCTAACCACCTGCAGAAGCCTGACTCTTGATTGTGTTTACAGAGTCCATCACGTAAAACCCGGAAATATCCCTCAACAGAATGTCAAGCTCACGTGGGCAAGGGCATTTCTGTCTTGTTCCCTATGTCTGCTCAGCACCAGGGACAGTGTTCAGTACCCAGTACAGGGCCCTGAGTGTTGAATGAATGAAACCTTTGATGCAGCAATTCCACTTCTATTTATGTGTACAAATGAATCACTCACACATGTGCACAGGGTTTGTGCACAAGAAGGAGAGGAGCAACCAACTGAGAAAAAACTTCTGTTTATTAATTGACAGTGAGTGATGCAGGATAAATGAAAAATCGGGGGTTGCAACATGGAGCAACTGCTGAACAGGGAACAGAATAAAAGGAACATGTTAGTGGAGAAGAGCAGGTGGAAGATGCTCTTAGGGTCACCTCATGTGTTTCTAAATGCAGAGAAATAGGTGTGTAATGAACCCCCAGAACTGCCCTCAGCATTCACATCTGGGAAGGAAGAGGGATGTGCTCTTCTGTGCACAGACACCTGCCAGTGCTGTTTCCCGGGATAAGTGCATGGATACACCAACAGAAACATGCATTAGGTATAGGTATCACTGTTCTATATAATAAAAGCGTAGGTGGCGTCACGCCCTCAAGTGATGTTGTCACAAGATGGCCACCACAAGATGGCTAACACAAGATGCCCTTAGGGAAGAGCAGGCCAGTCTGCGGGACACCCTTGCCCCCATGCACGAATTTCGTGCACCAGGTCTCTAGTACTTTATAAAACTAACATCTAACAGAACATTTGTAACATATTAACATATTAAGATAGTGCTGAACTTTTCACTGTACCCATGATGGCCAGTAGTTCACAGTTATGCCCATGATGGCCAGTAGTTCACAGTCGTGCCCATGTTCATGAAGGGCTACCAGGTTCTGCTTCTTTTCATGGGCACTTGTCACATCCCTGAGGTGGAGACAAGGAGAGAGAAAGGAAATAAGTGGCAGTGAGCTCCCATTGCCTAATCCGTTAATACCTAACCCTTCATCCTGACCTGCAGGACCCTGAGCACTCAGATTCCTCCCCACCTCATGCTGTGCATGCACCGCCCCCCCCCCCCACTGTTCCTCCAAGCAAATCTTCTGCTCATGCCACAGGGACTCTCACCTGTTGTATGAGTTCCTAGGCTAGAGGAAGCAGGGGCCTATAGTTCAGGAGCTGACCAGTGGGTGGAGCCCAGGGCATGCTGGGTAGGGAGATCCCTGGCTACACAGAGCAGGGAGTAGAAAGAGGGAGGGAAGCCTCGTCATTTAGTCTCAGTGCTGCACTCCAAGGATCTTGGCAAAGGAACGATTTAGGGAAGGAATGACAAGGTGCGACTATGAGAACAGTGTGTTTTGTAGCAGTGTGGGCTGGAAGGAAAGGCCACTTACAAAGTTAGTCATCATCCTCTGGGTCACTGATCTCTTGATACACAACAGGGTCCTTTCTTTCCCTCAGCCTGCTGACCCAGACATGAGTCTCTTCTTTCTTGGATTCTGTGAGCTCCAGCACTGGGGCAGCAGCTTGAAAGGAACCTGGGACATTTGGGGTGAAAGTAACTTACCTGGAATCAGGACGAGAGCTGGAGGAACAGCTTCCTCCCAGACAGAAATCCTAGCAGAGGACATTGTTCCTCTTCTGATCCCTCCAGCCACAGAGCTAGCAGGCAGGGAACCATATCTGAATGTCTATCACCTGGCTCACACTTTTTGACCCACCCTGGTGATCCCCTGAGACTCTGCCCATCCCTACTTGCAGGCTCATCCAAGCCATTTCCAGTGGCTTTTCCATACAAATGGCCTCTCTTGCCTCAAGCTTTCGACTTTACTAAAATATCTCAAACAAGCAGCAGATGGCTTCAGTGTGCCCTGAACCTCTAAATAAGTAGCTCCAAGCCAGGCTGTAACAGCAACCCATCTTGGTTCAGATTTTGGCCTCTCCTGGGCACCTCTATACCCAACACTAGTAGCATCCATCTGTGATCGCTTTGTCACTCATGCTGAGTGGCCCCAGGCAGGGCACAGGCAGTGGTCGACTTTTCACTTCACAGGTGGCTCCAGAGCCAGTGCATCCAGTGGTCAGCTTTGACCATGCCTGATTACAACCCTATCACCTCCAAGAGTGACACTCAAAGGGCAGGCTCAGTGAGCATCAAGGCCTCATTGAAGCAAGTCCTGCTCCATAGGATGGGCTCCTGTCCAGCAGCTCTTATGATGCTGTGGAGGCTGATCCTAGAAAGCTATTGGCCTGAGGGTCAATCCCTCCCAGTGATGCCATCATTAATCATGGTTCAATTATAACAGGACAGTGTACACAGCGGCACGCCTGGAGTGCCTAGCTCAGGTGACTGGGAGGCTGAACCATTGGGCCCTACAGGACATCTACTACACAAGGCCACTCTACCAAGTCCAGGAGACATAGCAGCTCTACCTAATACTTAGACACAAACACAGGGAAATAGCCCAAATTCGGAGATAAAGAACCAGGTTACTAATGAAATAACAGGAGAAATCTCCAGAAAAAAGGACTAAATGAAATGGAAGCAAGCTAACTACCAGACTCAGAATTCAAAACAACAATTTTAACGATGCTCAAGGAATTGACTTAGACTATATACGACTCTCAGCTGATTTCTCAACAGAAACTTTGCAGGCTAGAAGGAGTGGAAAGAAATATTCAAAGTGATGAAAAGCAAGGAGCTACAACCAAGATTACCCAACCCAGCACAGTTATTTAGAACTGAATGTTAAAGAGCTTCTCAGACAAGGTCAAGCTAAAGGAGTTCATCACCACCAAACCATATTATATGAAATTTTGAAGGGTATTCTTTATGAAGAAGAAAATAAAAGATCAAGAATAGGACAATAAAATGGCAATAAATACACATCTATCAACGATTAAATCTAAAAATCAAAATAAACGAACAAGCAGAACAGAAATACACTCCCATGTACAGAGAACATTTTGACAGTTACCAGATGGGAGGGGAGTTTGGAAGAATGGTGAAAATGATGAAGTTGATTTAGAAGTACATATTAGTTATAGCCCATGGACATAGACAATAGATAGATGAAGGCCTGGGATGGGGTGGGAGATGGATGGAGGGGGGCAAAGGGGGTAAAGTGGGGGGAAATTTGTAATACTCCGAACAATAAAAGAAATTTTTTAAAAAATAAAATGGTTTACAAGTGGCAAAAAAGGATACCCATGAGAATTTTTTCTGAGCAACTGGGCTCCGAAGAATTTGGGCTTCACAGACAATTTCCAGGCTGTTTTTTATCACTCACCCTCATTCCCAGGGTCCCAATCTTCACCAGAATCATGCCCAGACTTTGTGGTCCAATTCTTAGGACGCATGAAATCTGGGCAGTTGGTCATTAAACCTAGGAGAAGAAAAATATTTGATGCTTAACCTAAGAGGAGGGTGGATGCTGGGAGGCAGTAGGGACAGTAAAGGTCATCAGGAGGGGGGATGGAACAAAGGCCATTGGAAGTTAACCATGCAGGGTCCAGGTCTGAGTATCTCATTGACCACATCTGGCCCTGAGCCTTGTTCTGAACACAGAATTTCCTGTTACCTAGACCAGTCATGATTTCATAGTTTCTCTTCATGCACACACAGGTTCTTTTCTCTGAGTTTCCCAGCTTTGCCCACTCTTCCTCAGTGAAGTATTTGCGAATATCCTTGAATGCCTAGGAAAAGAAAAAATAATGAATCCCTGCAGCCACTCAGGTAAACATGTTTGCCCTTTAGCCTGCGCTCTTCCTGTGCTGCAGAACCTCTGTGTTGGACCTGTACACTGGAGCTAACAGTTCCTCCTCGTTGATGTTACCATGAACTGAGAGAACAAAGGTAACAAGGCTCAGCCTCTACCCTGTCATGCATCAGGTGCTTTATACTAGTGATGGGCTCTCCTCTCACCTTCCAGAATGGACCGTGAGTCACCAAGTGCAGCCAAGGTCACATGCCCTGTTTCCTTCAGGGATGCTAGGCAAGTTCTGAGTGAGGGTGGGAAGCTCCTGAGACTCGGATCTCCCCCGGCCGACACCCTGCTCCCTGTCCTCACCGCCTCTGACCTCATGACCTCAGACATGTGGTCACCCTGTCCTGTGCCCCAGTCTCTTCTTGATACTCTCCAATCTCCTCACCTTGCATTTCTCTTCCGAATCCTGGGAGCCCTCCATAAGGCTTTTATCCAAGGAACTGTCTCTGTTCATGCCTCTGGGAGTGCAGTGATGTTGAAGGGATACAAGTGAGTCTCTGAGGTCACCCAGCCAAAGAGCCTGTGGGAATAAAGCCCTGAGGCAGGGTTAAACTCAGTGTCACCAGGAATTAAGATTCTTCTTTTGCTACAATGAGCTACCACATCACTGCTGCCAGAATGGCTACTATTAGTAACACAACAAATAAGTGCTGGTGAGGATGAGGAGAAAAGGGAACCCTACTGCACAGCTGGTGGGAATGCAGACTGGTGCAGCCTGTGTGGAAAACAGTGTGGAGTTTGAAAAAAACAACAAACCTGCCAGTTGACCCAGCCATCCTATTGTATGAATATATTGTAAGAATCCAGAAACACCAATCAGAAAAAATATATGCACCCCTAAGTTCATATCAGCAGCAGTTACAATAGAGAAGATATGGAAACAGCCCAAGTGCCCATCATAGATGATGGGATAAAAAAATGTGCTACTCATGGACACTGACAATATAGCACGGTGAAGGCCTAGGGGAGAGGGGAGCAGGTTAGAGGGAGTCAATGGGGGGAGGGGGGTGGAGGGGCATATCTGTAATACTTTTAATAATAAATGCTGATTTTAAATATCTGTGGCACATTTACACACTAGAATACTTCATGTCTGTCAAAAAGAAGGAGCACTTACCCTTTGCAACAGCATGGATCGACCTGGTGATTGTTATGGTAAGCAAAATAAGCCAGTCAGAGAATGACAAATACCATATGATCTCACTTACATGTGGAATCTACTGTAAAAAATAAACTGATGCCCTGACCGGTTTAGCTCAGTGGATAGGGCGTCAGCCTGCAGACTGAGAGGTCCCAGGCTTGATTTCAGTCAAGGGCATGTACCTTGGTTGTGGGCACATCCCCAGTAGGAGGTGTGCAGGAGGCAGCTGATCGATGTTTCTCTCTCATCTATGTTTCTAACTCTCTATCCCTTTCTCTTCCTCTCTGTAAAAAATCAATAAAATACATATATTAAAAAAATAAACTGATGAACAAAATAGAACCAGAGGCATGGATAGATGGAAAAGACTGACAAAAGCCAGAGGGTAGGTGGGTGGGTGGGGACTGGATAAAGAAGGTGAAGAGAGTAACCAAGGAACATATGTGCGTAGCACATGGTCACAGGCATCAGCGTGGTGAAGGCCAGGGCAGCAGAGAGGTGGGGACTGGCTGGAGGTGGGCATAGTGGAGGGAGGGGAGGATGTGGAACATCAGTAACAGTGTCAGCAATAAAAATATATTCTCTGTTATCCATCCTGTGTTCTTTGTCCCTGAGGGAGGACAGGGGTGGTCAGTGGAGGAGGAGGCCGAGGTCTCTGGGAGAGGAACTGGTGGGGAGGACAGGTTTCGTGTGGGCATGATCCCAGGGGCCGAGCACCGTGAGGGGCTTGGTTACTGGTGCCGGTCCTTTGTCTGGAATGTGCTTCCTGAAGGAAGATATGAGGCCCCTGCTGTGTAAGTAGCAGCTGAGGGTGCAGTGTTACAGAGGGTTTCGTTTTATCCAAAAGGCCATGGGAGGTGAGCCCCAGGATCATGTGGTTGGGACACTGAGACAAAGGGATGTGGGGTTCCTTGCTGGAAATAAATGAAGACTGCTACTAGGAGTGGAGCTGGAGGCCAGTCATAGGTCGTTTGGAAATTGTTAGGGTCAGGAGAGCTGGAATCTCTGAGACAACAGGACCAGGCATCACCCTGCCGAGAAGGTAGGGGTTCAACATAGCGATCTCATACTCCCCTAAGGGAGGGCACTGGGCGTCTCTCAAGGAGGGTTTCTGAGGCCAAGAGGACGGCTGCTCTAACCCAAGTGCCCACCAGTAGACGCGTGGATAAACATAGTGCCTGTAGGCCACGGAACATTACTCAGCCACAAAAAGAAGGAAATCTGACCATTTGGGACAGTAAGGATTGACTAGAGGGAATCATGCTGAGTGGAATTCGCCAGTCATAGAAAGACAAGTGCCATATGCTCTCATGGACACTGAAATGCAAAGAACAAATAAATGAACAGAGAAAATTAGCACAGACTAAAGGGCAAAGAGAGCAGACTGGTGGTTGTCAGATGGCAAGTTGCGGGATGGGGAGAAAGAGGTGAAGGAGTGAAAAGCACAAATTGCCCCGAATAGCTGCAGCAATCCTGATAAGAACAAAGTGGGAGGGATTTCAATACCAGATATCAAGCTGTATTACAAAGCCACTGTTCTCAAAACTGCCTGGTACTGGCACAAGAACAGGCATATAGATCAATGGAATAGAATAGGGAACCCAGAAATCGACCCAAACCACTATGCTCAATTAATATTCAGCAAAAGAGGCATGAACATACCATGGAGTCAAGACAGTCTCTTCAATATATGGTGTTGGGAAAACTGGCAGATACATGCAAGAAAACGAAACTAGACCACCAACTTACACCATACACAAGAATAAACTCAAAATGGATAAAGGACTTAAATGTAAGACGGGAAACCATAAAAATACTAACTGAATCCACAGGCAGCAAAATCTCAGACATATGCCGAAGCAATTTCTTCACCGATACAGCTCCTAGGGCAATGGAAACTAAAGAGAAAATAAACAAATGGGACTACATCAAAATAAAAAGCTTCTGCACAGCAAAAGAAACCATCAACAAAACAACAAGAAAGCCCACTGCATGGAAGAACATATTTCCCAATGTCATCACCAATAAGGGCTTTATCTCCAACATTTACAGGAAACTCATGCAAGTTAACAAAAGGTAGAACAACACGACCATCAAAAAATGGGCAACAGACCTAAATAGTTATGTTTTGAAAGAAGACAGAAGGAAGGCCAAGAGACATAGGAAAACATGCTCAATGTCAGTAATCATCCGAGAGATGCAAATCAAAACAACAATGAGGTACCATCTCACACCTGTCAGAATGGCAATCATCAACAAATCAATGAATGACAAGTGCTGGAGAGGATGTGGAGAAAAAGGGAACCCTTGTGCACTGCTGGTGGGAATGCAGACTGGTGCAGCCACTGTGGAGAACAGTATGGAGTGTCCTCAAAAAACTAAAAATGGAACTCCCATTGGACCCAGTGCTCCCACTTCTGGGAATATGTCCCAAGAAGCCAGAAACACCAATCAGAAAGGATATATGCACCCCTATGTTCACAGCAGCACAATTCACCATAGCGAAGATCTGGAAACAGCCTAAGTGCCCATCAGCAGATGAATGGATTAGAAAACTATGGTACATCTACACAATGGAATACTATGCTGCTGTCAAAAAGAAGGAACTCTTACCATTTGCCACAGCATGGATGGAACTGGAGAGCATTATGCCAAGTGAAGTAAGCCAGGCAGAGACAGATAAGTATCACAGGATCTCACTCATTGTGGAATAGGAAGGCCATCATAAACCGATGACCAAAAGCAGACCCAGAGTCATAGAAGCCTCGATCAGACCCTCAAACCTCAGAGGGAAGGCAGGGGAGGGTGGGGACGGGGAGGGGCGGAGGCGGTGAAGGAGTGAGCCGCACGGGCGGGTGCTGCAAAGCCGCCACGGGGATGTGAAGCACAGCACAGGGAACCCGGGGAATAATGTGTGGACGCTGTGTGTGGGGCTGGGCGCGCTGGAAATATGGGCCCCTGCACCGTGTGCCGGACACCAGAGCAAAGAGTCCTGCGTGTGATGGTAATTTAAACAATGATACAGTTAGAACAAAGGAAGGACAGGAAACAACTGTCGCCTTATCGCTAGGAGGCAAGAAAGGGGCCCTCGTGGCGCGGCCCGGTGTCTGCTGAGGGCCCGGGGGCGTGTGTCTAACGGGCTCGGTCTCTCAGGCTGCGGAGGTCCGGCTCCCGAGGGGAGCAGTCATGGCGGCTCGCGGACGACGGCCGTTTCGGTTTCGTCGCGGCCGGAAGGAATCTGCCGAAAGGCTTTACGTGGCCCTCAGGCCTAGGACCGTGGGTGTTACTGGGGGCGCAGCAGGGACCGACCGCTGGGGCCAGCGGCGGAGGCTCCCCGCGTTTCTCCGTGGCCCCCTCCCCCTCATGTGTCCAGGGCCCACCCTGAGGGAGAAGGCAGCTCCGAGTGAGCGGTTGTGCGGCTCGGGCCCTGAGGAGGACACGGCAGCTCAATGGCCGAGGACCTTGGCCTACCCTTACTGGTGGGGCAACTTGACCTGGCGCTTGGGGTCAGGATGAGGCAGTGGTCGCTGGGGCCGGAGAGGAGAGGTCCGTCAGGCCTGGCGATGGAGCCGGGAGCGTCTTTCAAGATGGCTGGAGAGAACCACGAGAACTTTCCCGCCTGGAGGGTGGCCGGGCCCTGCGCAGCCGCAGTTGGCAACTCGGGGTTCCGTCAGTGCGCATGCTCAGATTTTTCCTTGAGCGGACCCTGAGTCCTACTTTCTGCTATGTGTAAGCTGATTCGCTTTTAATGAGATGTATTTAATTTTACTTTTGTAATAAAAAATTTAAAATATGTGCTGTTTTAAAATACCTCACCCGAAGATATATTGATTGATTTTTCATAGAAACAGGATGGGAGATAGAGCAATAGGAGAGAGGGGGAGACGGAAACTTCAATGTGAGGGAGAAACATCAAGCGGTGTCTGACTGTGTCCGTTGGAGAGATCAGTCCTGCAACCGTTAGGCATGTACAGAACAACCCTTCAACCAAATGAACCATTGGGCTAGTGCTGTTGTTTAGGTTTTAAAAAAATCTTTATGGTTAATAGTATTACAGATATTCCCCCCTTTCTTCCACTGTCCCCTTCACCCAGGTCCCGCCTCACTCCAGACCTTCACTTTCTTATTGTCTGTGTCAATAGGTCATGCAGATAAGACCTTTGGTTAATCTCTCCCCGCCCCCACCACCCCCTTCCCTCTGAGATTCATCAGTCTGTTACATGTTTCCATGCCTCTGGTTCTATTTGATTCATCAGTTTATTTTGGTCATTGGATTCCTTTTTTATTTCATTTGGTTTTTAGATTCAATTGTT